ACTGAACTACTAAATTACGAATTTACTATCAAAAGCTGGATTATAACTCGCAAAATAAAGTAGTGTAGTTCATCACAAAGGCATTAGGGATGGTTTAAAAACCAAAAAGTGATTTATTTTGTTTTCAATACGAAATTCCGAATCACGACATTCATACAAAGCGATCGGCTCTATCAACTGTGGCTAAAATTTTTGATTTATTGGGACTTTTAAGTTCAATTATCGTACGATGTAAAATTCTAATTCAGGAAATTTGGATTCAAAATTTGAGTTGGGATGAAACTCTGCCTCCAAAGTTACTAACATCATGGTTAAACATAAGAGATGATTTATACTTTTTAAATTCTATTAATGTACCTCGTTATGTTTTTACTGACAGTGAAATTAAGAGTGAAGTTCACGGATTTTCCGATGCTTCACAGCGTGCCTACGGTTGTTGCATTTATATACGTACAAGATTGAATGATACATGGAATGTAACTCTTTTAATTGCTAAATCAAAGGTAGCGCCGATTAAGGCACAATCCCTACCGAGGCTTGAACTGTGTGCAGCACTCTTATTAAGTAGAACATGGAATAAATTCATAAACAAGGTTGCACAATTCGTGAATGCAGAATATTTTTGGACAGATTCTAAGGTGGTGTTGCAGTGGCTACAAATGCACTCATCTTCTCTTAATTGTTTTGTAGCAAATCGTACAAAAATTCAAGAAATTACCAAAAACTTCAAATGGTATCACGTACCATCTAAGGACAATCCTGTAGACATTTTTTCTCGCGGTTGTAATGCTGAAGAATTACCAAAAACAATATGGTTTAGTGGGCCTGCTTTTACATACAGATCAATGGCCGCCACGTAAAATTAGTGACATTAAAACGTCTCCAAACTGCGCAAAAAACTCACATCCTAGGAGATATGGACCCATGGGGTTTTGAGAATTGACATAGTAGACACATTTTCAAATATCTCTATATTTATATCTCAAGTTGTATTAAAGGTAGAAATTTACAGGGTTTCAAAGATAATTGATTGAACTTTTATAAAATTGTTTAAACAATTAAAATTGTTTATATTTAAGTACTAATATTATCTATTAAATTTCAAAAAAAAAATTTTCTTAAAATATACCCCTGGGATTCCATTTTTATTATTTTTTTTAGATTTAGTTTTAAATTTTACTACAAAATAAAAATTTTTAGGATGCTATTAGTTTTTGAGATTTTTTAATATTTTTTTCTCCCGCAAAACACATCAAGCACATGCGTACTTCATTTTTATTGAATGAATTTTCAAAGAATATACTACATATATTCTTATAAAATATTATTGATTTCGATTAGTAATAAAATTCTACATAAAACCCAAAAATTTCAGGACGATATAGTAATTAGAAGTACTTTTAAAAATTTATTTATCCTTCATATCACACCAAACACACACACACGATTTTTCAGTAAAAAAAAAAAAGGAATATGTCACAAATTTTTTTTTCTTACTTTTGATTCAAATTAATATGTAAATTTTACTTAAAAAATAAATATTTCCAGTACGATATTCTTTTTAGAAGTAATTAAAAAAAATTAATTTATCAGGCGTCCTTCACATTGCTCATACGCACCATAATACCATAAAATCAATTTTTGAAGGAAAACTACACAAAAATGTTTACTTTTTATTTCTAAAATAAATGTATACATAAAACATAACATTTTAAATTAGTTCCGCATCTTTCTGTTTTTAAATTATGAATTTTAACATAATTAAACCGTTTAATAACTTTTTTCTTATATAGATGAATTAAAATGTTAATTAGTTTCATACTAGTCGAACTACCTAGAAAACTGCAGCACATAATCATACCTACCTTTTTCGGTGAAGTGTTATTTTGCTACAGTTGGAAAAATACTCTGCCCAGGTAAGAAATGTTATAGGAAATAAACTGTAAGGAGCTAAAACCAAAATATTTTTTTTATGGTTTTTATATTGGTTTTATTAATTCTCATATCATTATTGATACATAATCTGTAATGTCTGAACAAGAAAATATTTTTGCCATTAATACTTTGTTGGAATTTGAAATAAGGCAGTGATATTTTAATGTGCCTTTAACTGAAGTAGCTGCTTCAAAACGGTGTTTAATCTTATTTTCTTCTACTTCATAGTCTATTAACGTTGAGAAATGGCACACAATATTTGGTTAACATTCCTTAGCCCAGTTAAATAATTCCTTTGGTATTTGGATTGAATTATTTATTCGTTGAAGGCTAGCTCTTGCAGCATTCCTCATTAAGGTACCAGCTAAGCCGTTGCATGGTCCTTTGCCGTTGGACGTTGGAAAAAAATGCCATTCTGCTTCCAAACCAAAGTCCGCTTTGTGATGAGTTAAATTAATAAAACTTTTTTTATTTTTATATTGTGAACCCGATCCATCGGAAAACTAAATAGTTTTTTTAATATCCGTACTAATTTTTTTAATGAATTTGATAGCGTATTTTTGGAACAAATGTACAGCAGTTGTGTTGTGATGTAAACAGTCAGATGGACAAAATTTTTTATTTGTAGTTTTTTATTTTCAAGACGGTGGTATATTGCAAAAATATGAATTTTTGCCTGATTATTATTCCAGTGAATACCTTGAACAGAGTTTTGAAGAACAAAAGCATAATTTTCGGAAAAATCACGCAAAACTATGCATTCAGTTTTTGTTAAGTTGCTTTTCTTATCATTTAAAAACTCTGCCTGTTTTTTAATGATAAAAGAATGCAACAGCAATTTGTCTAAACCATCTGTTAAGGATTGCAAATATTCGTCTATTTGTGATGTCAACGTTTTTAATGTGCTTCTCTCTTCACGAACCTATTGTTGTATGTAACGGTGTCAGTCATGTTGTCATCAAATATCTCCAGAAGTTGTTCATTGATATTTTCAGTTCCAGGACATTTGGCGCAGGTTCCTAGAAAACATTCTGTGTGTGAAGTATTGCAAATCATGCGCTGTAGGCAATCTTTATAGTCATTTATCGGCATTCTACTGCATGCAGTCAGTGCTTTGTGGATTTGGGTCTTCTAAGATTCATTTCTTTGAAGTAAGTTTTTTAGCAACAGTAGTCATACATTTTATAGCGTTTGAGAAGTAAGCCGTGACCCTTTCGGATAGACCAATTATGTATCACACCCACTATTTTTATTTTCATAGTTCTATCTGCTGTGCCATTAAACTTTTCCTGCAGATTTTTTAAAATTGATGCGAGTCATCTTCTTCATCGCTATTCTTAGAGTTATCCGCAGGAATATTAAAAATTTTAAATTTGTGATTTATTTATTCAATAAAAATACTTCTGAGAATACTAACGTCCTTAAAAGTTTCATTTTTATGTAGAATTTAATGATAAATTTAATTCAGAAATAAAAAGTAAAAGGTTTTTGTATCGCTTTCCTTCGAAAATTGATTTCATGGCACTTTGGTGCGTATGAGTAAAGTGAAAGACACCTGATTAATTAATTTTTCTTAATTACTTCTAAAATGAATATCACAGTGGAAATAATTATTTTTGAAGTAGAATTTATATATCAATTTGAATCAAAAATAAAAAAAAAATTTGTGTGACATATTCCTTTTTTTTTGTACTGAAAAATCGTGTGTATGTGTTTGGTGTAATATGAAGGATAAATAATTTTTTAAAAATACTTCTAATTACAATATCGTCCTGAAATTTTTGGGTTTTATGTAGAGTTTTATTACTAATCGAAATCAATAATATTTTATAAGAATATATGTAGTATATTCTTTGAAAATTCATTCAATAAAAATGAAGTACGCATGTGCTTGATGTGTTTTGCGGGAGAAAAAAATATTAAAAAATCTCAAAAACTAATAGCATCCTAAAAATTTTTATTTTGTAGTAAAATTTAAAACTAAATCTAAAAAAAATAATAAAAATGGAATCCCAGGAGATATATTTTAAGAAAATTTACTTAAATACTTAAATATAAACAATTTTAATTGTTGAAACAATTTTATAAAAGTTCAATCAATTATCTTTGAAACGCTGTAAATTTCAAGTTTCTACTTTTAATATAACTTGAGATATAGCGATTTGAAAATGTGTCTACTATGCCAATTCTCAAAACCCCATGGGTCCATATCTCCTAGGAAAAAGATCACAAAATTTTTTCCCGAGAAGACCCGTACTTCTTATTTTATGAAAGGAGCTCATAAAAAAAATTTCAGCCAAATCGGAGAGCATGAGGTCATTTTTTGCCAAAATCCGTTCGGTTTGTAAAAGCATGACGCTTATGCACCCAAACACGCTGGTTACACAACTAATGTCCCCTTCCAACACTTTTACAAGGCTGAGAAGGAAAACATTAAGAGATATTTTAGATACGTATATGTAGATCACACATTGTTATTTTAAATATATATGGATATGCCACTGGGTATAGTCCATACGTGGCTTTCTTTTTTAGATCGTAATAATTATTATTACGATTTATAATTATACATATTAGTTATTGTCATTCAAACTGACAGATTGTAATAAAATAAATGGATTTCAAACAAAAAAAAAAAGTTTGTCCATAATTTCATCTATATTAGGAATTGGAAATTTATCGCTCACCGTAGCCTCATTTAATCTATGGTAATCAACAACGATTCGCCATTTCTGCACTCTGGACTTGTCTACCTTTTTTGGTACCACTCACAAAGGACTATTATAAGCTGAATTACTTTCTTTTATTATATTATGGTCTAACATTTTTTTGATGTTGTGGCGGTTACATATTCATATGATCTAGGTTGGCCATGCAAATTCGGACAAATAAATTATTGAAAATAAGATGAGTTGGTCATGAAAAGAAAATTTTTAAAAAAACTAATGATATTTTTATTGAGTAAAAAAGAAGGTTGTCATTCTTTTGACGGTTTGTTTTAATAAATAAATAAAATTAAATTAAGTAGGATAAGCCTACAATTGGTGACCCCGACGTGATCGAAAATGTCGCAAGTAGAGGCAAGCAATAATAGCGCACTGGATAGAAATAACATTCCTGCAGATAGTAATGTATCAAATGATTACAGAAATGAACAACCTCGAGGTGACATTTGTCGTATCGGAATCAAAGCACCAGCATTCTGTAAGAGGGATCCAGACCTCTACTTCATCCAGATGGAATCTCAATTTAGAAACGCAGGAATCACAACTGACCAAACAAAATATGATCATGTAGTCGGCAGTCTTGACAGCGCTACCTTAAGAAATATCGCGGACATTGTTCGTGCTCCCCCTGCTGTAGAAAAATACGAAGCGATTAAGAAGCGACTAATTCAAGACTTTGCAGACTCCGAAAATCGAAAACTGCGGCGACTAGTTCAGGAGTGCCAGTTAGGTGATAGCAAGCCAACACATTTGTTGCGCACCATGCGCGATTTAGCCAGCGGCGCCATGAATGATGGAGCAATAAAACAATTGTGGCTGGATCGTTTGCCTGAAGCAGTGCGAGCAGTCGTTTCAATTTCGGAGGCTGACTTGGACAAATGTGCGCAGCAGGCAGATCTGATGTTGGAAATGGGAAACTACAATTCTGTAGCTGTTATCAACACATCTGCACAGAATAATGATCATATCATGAAAGTCATAGACGCCTTGAGTAAACAGGTTGCGGAAATAAAAACTGCACAAAGACGAAGCAGAACAAGATCTCAAACTCCAGATCGCAAGCGACATCATTCAACCCGTACTGATTCACAAGTAAAACGTTATCCTATGTGTTACTATCACTATCGTTTCGGTGTGGAAGCAAAAAAATGTTCCTTGCCGTGTAGTTTCAATCAACAGAGAAACCAATAAAGACTTCATCGGTGGCGGCCGATGAAGTCCAATTAGTAAATATGTTTAGCCGCCTGTTCATCACGGATCGAAACACAATTCAAGTTCCTGATAGATACTGGAGCTGATCTCTCAATACTACCAGTGTCTTGATTCAAAAACTCCAAGCTACAATCAACATTGCGATCATTGTATGCAGCGAATGGTTCGGCTATTCCAACCTACGGTAACAAGTTGCTGTCAATGAACTTGGGCCTTCGTAGGAAGTTCGATTGGAATTTTATAATCGCCAATGTTTCAAAACCAATTTTGGGCGCCGATTTCTTGAAACATTACGGTCTTGTGGTAGATGTAAAACGTAGATGCCTGAGCGATACGCAAACAAAGTTGAGTACCCAATGTGCATCGGAACACACTGGATATGAGCCAGTCTTTTCCATTCAGAATGACCACAAATTCAAAGAGCTTCTAAACTCATTCAAGGAGGTGACAATGCCTGTTTCATATAACTACAATAACGAGCCTAAGACTACGGTTCGCCACCAGATTATCACCACTGGTCCGTCTGTTTTTTCACGTGCACGGCGGCTAAATCCGCATAAACTGCAAGCAGCCAAGCAGGAGTTCGAGTATATGTTGAAGCAAGGAATTTGTAGACCATCCAAGAATGAATGGGCGAGTCCACTAAATATGGTGCAAAAAGGAAATGGTTTGTGGCGACCTTGTGGCGATTACCGTTGACTTAATGCCCAAACAGTTCCTGACCGCTATCCTATTCCACACATGCAAGATTTCACGCATTCGCTAAATGGAAAACGCATTTTTACAACGTTGGATTTAGAAAAGGCATACTTTAATATACCGGTTGCTGAAGAGGATAGAGAAAAAACAGCAATAATTACATCTTTCGGCCTGTACGAATTTAATGTGATGATTTTTGGACTTTGTAATGCAGCACAATCATTTCAAAGATTCATGGACCAAGTTCTTTTCGGACTTAAGTTTGCTATATGTTATATTGATGATATTTGCATCGCATCCGATAACATAGACGAGCACATACAACATGTGCGCAGCGTGCTACAACGTCTCCAGGAACATGGTTTGAAAATAAACATTGCAAAATGTGTGTTCGCAGAGGAAGAAGTAACATTTCTTGGTCATCTCATTAATCACAAAGGAATTCGTCCCCCAGGCAAGAAAATTGAGACGATTGCAAATTTTCCAAAACCAAAGGTAGTGCATGAGCTACGGCGATTCATTGCAATTATCAATTTTTATCGACGTTTTATTTCAAAAGCGGCGGAGATCCAGGGACGGCTTCAGAACTTAATTAAGGGTAACAAAAAACAGGACAAAACTGTTATTGAATGGACCGCGGATGCAGATAACGCATTTGCGGAATACAAAGAAGCCTTAATTAATGCAACAACAATCGTTCATCCAATTCCAGACGCAAACCTTGTACTTCACGTGGATGCCAGTAACGTAGCTGTTGGCGCTGCATTAAATCAAATCAATAACGGACAACTCGAGCCTTTGGGGTTTTACTCAAAGCGGTTGACGAATACTCAAGTCAAGTGCAGCACGTACGACCGTGAGTTGCTCGCGATTTACCAATCGGTTAAATATTTCAAACATGCGATTGAAGGTAGACGTTGCACTATTTTCACTGATCATAAGCCGATAACGTATGCATTTCGACAGAAACCGGAAAAGGCATCGCCACGCCAACTAAGACATTTAGATTACATCGGTCAATTCACAACTGACATTATGCATATAGCTGGTAAGAATAATCCGGTAGCTGATTTTCTGTCACGTATCGAAGCAGTCAGCAATGAAGATTTAGTTGACTTTGATCAATTAGCAGAAAGCCAGAAAACCGACATTGAAACAAATGGTTTTCTGTCTAAAACGAATAAATCTGCACTTCAACTGAAATGGATACTCATTCCAAATTCATCTAAGGAAATTGCATGTGATGTATCATCAAATCGTGTGCGTCCTTTTGTAACTGAACAGTTTAGATAACGCGTCTTTAATTCAATACATAATTTAGCACATGCTGGTCGGCGAGCCACTATTAAGCAAATAGCAGAACGTTTCGTATGGCCGGGCATGGCAAAAGACATTGCGGAGCGTGTTAAATTATGTCTTCCGTGCCAACGAGCAAAAGTCACGCAACATAATAGATCAGCAATTTTGAATTTTGACGTACCAAATGAGCGGTTCGCTGTAATCCACATTGACCTCATTGGGCCTCTACCATCGTCAAACGGTTACCGATATTGCCTTACATGTATCGATCGGTTTACCAGATGGCCAGCGGAAGTCCCTATCGAGGATATACATGCCAGCACGGTAGCCACAGCGCTCATCAATGGTTGGATCATGCACTTTGGCGTTCCGAAGCAGATCATAACAGATCAAGGAAGACAGTTCGAGTCAGCACTGTTTAATGAATTAGCGAAACTCATTGGTGCCAAACATATCCGAACTAGTCCACGTCATTCTTAAGCAAATGGTTTGATTGAACGTTTTCATCGGACTCTGAAAACTGCAATGAAATGTAAGCATGAACATCAATGGTCTGATGCAATACCTTTGATTGTGTTAGCGCTTCGAAATATCTTTAAAGAAGACCTGAAAGCAACTCCAGCAGAAATGGTATATGGAACAACTCTGCGCTTACCGAGCGATTTTCTGGAGCAAGGTAATAATGACAAAATCCCAGAACATGAATTCGTAGAAAACATGAGACAGATGATGTCTCAAATACGATCAGTTCCTACATCAAATCACTCAAATGAAAAGGTATTCTTACAGAAGGAACTACAACATGCTACTCACGTGTTTTTGAGGGATGATTGTGTCCGCCCACCATTAAAAACACCGTACGATGGGCCATTTAAGGTTGTGAGGCGTTCAGACAAGACGTATGATCTTCTAATCAAAGGAAAACTGTTGCGGGTAAGTGTTGATCGGGTAAAGGCAGCATTTTTATCAAGTGACAATAGCTGTGTTTCAGCAAACATGATCCGCTCAATTTTACATGCAAAACAAAAACAATGGGGTGAACCAGCAATTGATCTGGTTCACTTTCTGGTTCAATGTGGAATGTATGTAAAAGATAAAAGTGGAACGTATTTTAATGCAAATAAGGTTGGCAATGCGATGCACGGTGCAGTAAAATTTTAAACAAATCTACATTTATATTTATTTACTATTGATTTTATTTATTTATTATTTATTTTATGTACTCATTTAATTAATATGTCATTATTATTTATTTCTTTGTTTAAAGTAACGTTCTAATTATCAATGTAATTAAAATTATTACTTTAATAATTTACGTTTTATTATTATTGAAAAAGTGTTGTTTGATAATTTATTAATATCAATTAATTTGAAATGAATATATAAAAATTAAGTTGAATACATTTATTTAATTAAAACAGAACAATACATAAGAAACCAGGCTCTCCAACATATACGTTTATAAAAAAATCATTTTCATCGCAAACTGCCTGCAAGATTAAGCCATAGTCATGCTTTCTTTTGAAATAAGCCTATTTGCTATGGTTTGGTGAATTTATTTTTAGATGTGTACTGTCTATACAACCAATTACGAACGGGAATTTTTTCGAAGCTTCCATTTTTGCATTATTACCAAGTGCGTATTTTAAATTAGTGTCCAATTGATATAAGCTAAACACTAGTTTTTTTAATTATTCTCCACACAGAAGCTCTTGGTATGCCAAAACAAATACCAAATTTGCAAAAAGTATTCATATTTGCCATATACCACAAAAATATATAAAATTACTTCATTGCTCTCGTCCAAATGTGATCATCACGGTTATTTTGCATTTGCTGATTTGGAATTTATTAACAAATCTATTAAAATATGAAACATAATTAATATATAGCAATTGTATTTTTTATGCGCAAATATCAATCAAATAATCTTTAACGAAAAAATTATTGATCGTTTCCACAAAACTTCCACTATATCTATGCTGATACACTTCATCCCTTGAGCTTAATACCATACACTTGAACTAGTAAAAAGGGAATGGAAGAGTCAGTTTCGCTCGATGATTCTAATAACATATGCAATTTTCATTTATTAACTATAGAATTAAATTTAAGTTTTTAAGTAAATACTTCAGACATTTCAACAGATTTTATTTATTTTCCATTTTTTAGATTTTTTGTATTCAAAATTTTCTCACTTATTTTTTTAGCGCCAAAATTATTCACACAAATCAAAAAATTTTGTACACAAACCCAACTGTCATATTTCATGCGTTGCCAATTATTTTCAAACGTGATCCGTATCGTTTCAGCAAAGATGATTCAGATCATTGAGCGGATCATGTTTGCTGAAACACAGCTAATGAAGACGTAAGCCCATCACGTACAGAAAATATGGCAGATACTCGAATGGATACCAAACCAAGTAATGTAACACGAAAGGGACGGTTAGTGCAGGTTCCAAGAAGATATGTTAAATTTGACTTAACGTGACATCGCACATGACTCAGTCACATGATCTAGGTTGGCCATGCAAATTCGGACAAATAAATTATTGAAAATAAGATGAGTTGGTCATGAAAAGAAAATTTTTAAAAAACTAATGATATTTTTATTGAGTAAAAAAGAAGGTTGTCATTCTTTTGACGGTTTGTTTTAAAAAATAAATAAAATTAAATTAAGTAGGATTTCGATTTCGCGTGTTTGAGGGTACCTATAAATTTTTGATTATATTGGTCGGTCATTTGTTGTTATTATTTCGTGCCTTATTTCATGAGTACAAGAAAATTTGTCCTCTTCTTTGAAAAAAAGATCATTAAAGTCTTGTAATAAATCTGTTACCGATTGCGTCTTCTCCCGACGCAAATATTTAAATATCACTAAATTCAAATACACTAATTTCCTGGTCTTTATACGGGCTAATATGTTAATAGATTTATTCTCTACGTCTATCTTAGCTTTAAGAGAGATGAGAAAATTTT